GGGACAATATACTGGTGCAAGATTCGTCTGAGAGGCGAAGGACACTGACTTAAACATTCACTGCCACCCCCCCCCCCTCCCCCACAAGTCATTGTATAGGCCACATCGCATTCAATAACCCACTACGATTCTGAATGGAAGTAGAATGCGTGCCGCATCCTGAAAGGGATTGATCAACGGCGAAGACTTTATACTTTGATGCTTTTATCCTCCCCAGTTACTCATACGACCCCCTCCCCATGAGGATTCCACAACGATGTTGTACACTGCTGCGAACATGCGAACATTACAATCAGGCCCGCATAATGCTAACTTTCAAAGAATTTCTCCTGATCCAATGATCTCTTGCCTTTCAGCATGCATCATTATCACGGTTATTTGGTGCAACTCCTTATTAGTCAGGGCTCCGTCGACTGTTTAAGGGCACTTGTCTATAGGATCACGTGGGGGAGGGGGAAACACGTCCATCTTGCACACATATTCCTTGAATGCTTCGTAGTTTTTCTTGAAGCTCTTAAGACGGCTTTTTGCTCGCCATTGTGTGTGCGAGCGCCCTAACATTGTCAACCAACGAAGTGAGACGAAGTCGGGCTAAGAATCGGGGGTAGTGGTGGACACAAACAGGCAAGATGTCTATAAGATCAGAGCCATGCAGACCTGATTCTTCACAAATATAGGAAAATTGATTCATTATCGCCGTTCCGATAAATATAGCTATACGAGTGATGAATAATTCGATACACTGGTGCAGTGTCAGTTGACCCTCCTTATCAATGGAAATGTGTTTTCCAGGTCATTGGTGTACACGACATGTCTAATATATATAAAGTGCCATTGCTGCTTGAAGAACAACATGTTTTGGAGGCGATTATTCATCGCTTACACTTGAAACCAATTAGCGAAGATGTAAGGCGAAGCCTGAAGTTCAACATGTGTCACTGGACTCATCTTAGTGAATTGTTAGTCAGCTGTTCACTTTGTTTACTTCTTTGGTGCTCATTGAAGCTTGTACCTCGTTCAGGTGTGACACATTCACACAAGAAGTCGTGATTGCTTTAGTCGGAAAATATGTGAAAATCAATGATGCATATGCATCCGTGAACAAAGCGCTCAACCACGCTGCGATCCATAGTAAACGAGCCATTAAAATCAAGGCAAGTTCTTTCTGCGGAGCGCATTCGTTGGCAAGTGACTGAGCATTATTTTTAGTTCGTGGATTCTGAACTTCTGGAGGACGGAAAACCAGCTGAGTTGAAAGCAAAGTGTGAAGCAGCATGGAAAGATGTTAGGAGTGCTCAGTAAGTCACTTGGTTGTCTGATCTACAGGAGTTGGGGAGAGGGCACATGGTGACGCGGCGTAGTCTTGGCCCACTTAGTGATAGTGATCAGATCACTTCCTCACGGCTTGACGGCGTGTATTGGCTTGCCTCCTCTGACTCCAGTAGCCTCCGTTAAGCTTTTCGTTGCACATCTGATTTATTATAGCGGTATTATTGTTCCTGGAGGTTTTGATACACGTGGTGTCGAAGGAATGATAAAAGCATGTCAATATGCCAGAGAAAATAATGTACCGTTCTTGGGTAAGCGTCAGCAGTGTTCGGTAACCCTTCAAGTACCACTTATTCTTTACAGGAGTATGCCTGGGTATGCAGTGTGCGGCAATTGAAGTGGCTCGGAACCTTCTGGGTATCAAAAATGCCAATTCAACGGAATTCAACAAAAACTTGAACGAGGATGAACAGGTTTGCATCATAAATGTACAGCTGACAGCAGGGGTAGGGGTGTCATCGTCATCCAGAATAGGCGCCTCTCCGGTCCTGCCGGCGCAGTTCGGCTTGGTGGGGGCGCCTTGCTGGTTTCCACCGATCTTCATTACGACTTGTAAAGCTAGACAATAGGACGAGCTTTTCTTTACACTTGACAAAAATTTACGGGTCTCACCAAGGCGTGGCTTAAAGAAGGTAACAAGCGGCTAGCAAACGTACAGAATACCCCTCCCAAGCGGAACAGAGCTGATGTGCCGACTGCCTTTGTTCTAAGCGCATTTGTAGGGCAAAGCATAGATAAAAAAATAGGCCGCCGCGTTTATAGTGGAAAAGTACGCATTCTGCTCATTTCCAGGTGTAAGAGTGGATAGAACGCGTCAACAGTTTCATTGGTAGTAAACAAACGATTCATCTCCTTGCAAAACTTCCAGTGATAGTTCTATTAATCGTTGAAATGTTCAGGTTTCCTGCCATCATTCCTGCCCAAAAATATCCTATTTTAGATTATAATCGATATGCCGGAGCACAATGTGGAACATAAAGGTCTCGGAGGAACCATGCGTCTGGGACGGCGTACAAGTGTCTTCCTAACGGAGAATTGTACATTACGTGAGTTGTGTAGTCAGTGGAATTCGGGAGCTGATGAACCATGGGTACGTGGTGGGTGCCTCCCCTGTTAAGATATGTGGCGTATGGCGTGTCATTGACGTCACTTAGCCCGTAATTGGTGCCTGATGAGCGATTTCCCCCCTACTAATGTGTTATTTAACGCACCCACTTCTTAAGGTCATGATTGCAGTCATCTGATTCTTAATACGGACCCCGCTAGGAAGATTATAGGTCTAGGAGAACAGGTTGGACACGACAAAAGTTGCGCTTGACGTTAAATGTATCGGGATGCTCTGGAATAGGCCCTGAATCTAGAGCGACGCTCATTTTGCTTTCCACCATAACCGGGGCCTGCATAGGCGAAAACTGAGTGGTTTTGTGTGCATTTACTGCTCCTATGCACTGAGAGCGCAGTTTGAGGTATTGTATCTGTCTGCTTCTCTAAACTTATGGATTAGTCCCGTGCTCCTGCGCCGAGTTGTTATTCTGAAATACTTGTGTGCTTAAGGAAGATTGTACGGCCGTAATGAAATCGAAGAGCGCCACCGTCATCGTTATGAAGTTAATCCACGATTTGTGCACAGATTAAGCGAAAAAGGACTTCTGTTTGTCGGTATGGATAGTGAATCGTGACAGTTCTGGAATTCTGGAGAAAGTTTGATTTGGTTCTTGTTTTCAGGTATGGGAGTCGATGAGACACCATGTACATCTCTCACAGAACACAGTCGTACACAGTCTAGTGCTGCGCTGATGAGAATGGCTGTGGAGCACGAAGAAGAGGTTGTCTATTCTCTCTTTCTGCG